TAGGATAAACCGACACATGTTCACCCTAACAGGACCCCTCCCGACTGTTCGTTCCACAAGTCCATTGAAGGGTTTGCAGTATTCTTGGGAGCTAATCTGATTTCTAGGAATGGCATCTACCCTTCCCCGTGGCGGCGCGTCACCGAGTGCCACTGCAGATTACATATAACATGTTCAATGTGTGATGGCGCTACTTGGTGCCAACACAATTTTTTTGTGACTCCGCTGGGACGATTTCTGTTGCTATAGGCGAAACCCTTGTTTCCTACCATGGGCTCTCATACTAATCTTGATCAAGACATCATCATGACCACATATTGAGAGTTGTCGAGAGCCAATCGTCAGGAACTTGAAGCTCACTTTGAAGAATTGCGGCGGAAGATAGCTTCATATTACTGGAAGACGAGGCAAGGCGTCATCAAGCAAGGAAATTTCACAGTGCCCGTTGACGACAAATAGTAGGTGGTGCTATTATTGCTAGTTTGAATAATCGACTTACAATTTTTAGTATTAATTTTGAGAAAACCCTAGATGCTTGCATGAATGATTAAAGCTTCATACCATAGCGAACCTATGTATGGTGCTCCTATACATGGATTCATGGAATACAGCAATATCATATACCCGATTATATACGAGAAGGTATTCTACAATAAAGAATGAAATTATCTTCTCGGAATAGAAGGTGTTAGAGTCCTATTCAGGAAAGATAAGGTCCCCTTATGCTTGTATCCTGCTTTATATCTCCGAATTCTACTCGGAGAAGAAGATGATCTATGCTATATATACCAGGCCCCAGTAACAAGTCATAGCCAAAGCCGTATTCAGAAGCAATCCGGAGGAACTTAGAAGCCATATTCGTCGAATAGATCTCATCGGACTATTCTCGACAGCTTCTAGTCGGCGGATCAGTTTAATAGTCATATTCCACATTATTGTTTCAATTTCTTGATAATAATTAATAACTCACTCCGTTTTATAGTATAAGTCATCTGTCTTTTTTCTTTAGGTTTGACCAAGTTTGTGGAAAATATGATAACATTTTCAATACAAAACAAATGTATTATCAAAGTAGATTTAATGTTAAATTTAATAAAACTAATTTGATGTTGTAGATATTGCTATTTTTTCTATAAGCTTTATCAAAGCTAAAAAAACTCTGACTAAGAAAAAGTCAAACGATTTTTTAATCAAACGGAAGGAATATAAAGTAACTATTTTTTTAATGTATTTCATAATATAAGGCGTGCATGTATACATGTAATTAACTAGCACATTCTATTCACTTAATTATTATTTTTAAATCCTCCATTCTCAAGATTTTTAATTTTATTAGATGTATACATTATATTTATTAGGACGATATAAATGAGTAAGTGATAATAATTATTTATTGACTAATGAGTTAATAAGTAGTTGTGCCTTTTATATTTTTGAGAGGAGTAGTAAGCTTGTTGCGTACATGCAAGCCGAATCTGCCAATCTGGTGACGGCCACTTATGCATGCTCTGATTAATTAATTACCTGAAGGAGAAGGAACGGGCACCGCCTATTGATCAGTTGACTGAAAACAAAAGTTTATGTCAGCTGGAAGGCATATGTAGCACGACAAAGAGTGACACGTAGCTTCCGAATTAGCACGCCAATCTAATGCAAGAATCTGACTGTCAGGCACTTCTTCTCATATTGTCAAGTAAGCAGCGTAATTAAGAGAAACTGGTTCAGCACCTTTCACCTCCATCTCAAAATATAACAACCAGGATGTTACATTTGCAGACGGAGGGAGTAGCTTTGCAGCCGCGCGAGATATTTCACGGTGAATGATGATTCTCGGCGCCACAAGTCAAATTGGACTAACGCGCGGATCGGCGTCGCCATCGAGACCGATCAGCAAACAAACAGATATCTCAACCTCAGGTGATGCTGGGTGGTGGATTCAGTCTGTGCGCATGCTGACATTATGAGATCTAAAACACCACACGCTCGGCTATCATCTTAAGCCGCCTTGATCAGTCAACTAGTAATTACGACAGGTACCTGCATGTTGTATGACTAGCTTATATCGTTTTTCACATGTAAAATCTACTCCAATCTACTCCCTCCGTTTCGAAATGTTTGACGCCGTTGACTTTTTTAAACATGTTTGACCGTTCGTCTTATTCAAAAAATTTAAGTAATTATTAATTCTTTTCCTATCATTTGATTCATTGTTAAATATATTTTTATGTAGGCATATAATTTTACATATTTCACAAAATTTTTCGAATAAGACGAACGGTCAAACATATGCTAAAAAGTCAACGGTGTCAAATATTTCGAAACGGAGGGAGTATTATAGTGATCGAACATCGCTAAACAAGATAAGGCACACATTTGTTCTCAAGGTTCATAACCTATGCTGTAAATTATGCGTTGGATTAAGGTCTGTAATAATTCGAATAACTTTACGGTAGTCCCTATTGTTTTTACAAGATAATACTCCCTTCGTTACATGTTACAAGACGTTTTAACTTTGATCAAAGTTAAACTGTTTTAAGTTTGACTAAATTTATAGATAAATATAATAATATTTGTAATACTAAATTAGTTTCATCAAATCAATAATTAAATATATTTTTATAATAAATTTGTCTTGGGTTGAAAATGTTACTACTTTTTTCTATAAACTTGGTTAAATTTAAAGCAGTTTGACTTTGATCAAAGATAAAATGTCTTATAACCTAAACAGAGGGAGTACTATAATATAATCCATTTCAGCTTAGCTTCAACTGTTTTGCTGACCAAATTTCGCTCACATCACATTGATGACTGAAGTCAAACCATAGCGAAAAACATCATAGAGTAATTGAGTACTAAATCATTCATTCGCATACATATTGCCACCATATCAATCAAAGTGCATCAAAAAATTAACCGTTGACCCACAAATCCTCCAAAGCGACGCCTCCATGGAGGATGGGGCGTTACAAGCTGCCGCCGATCGTTCCAGAAAACGGAGCAAGTCTTTTTTTCACCTGCAGACTAGTGTGGAGGGACAATGGGATCGAACTGGGGACAACCGACTAACTCCAGTAGCACGGTGCACGCCTGCACTTGCATGAGTTCATCTTGTGGCCAATGGTAGCGGTGGCAATAACAAAAATAGCGACCGATAGCAATGTCGATTAGGCATGGCCTATATTTGACCACGCGGTGGTGGTGATGACCAGGCATGCCTCCGACAGCATTTGCCCAGGTCGACAATGTGGGGATGTTGATCTTTGGCACCATCATCCATCAGGAGCGCCTCATTGGCTGAATGCATGACCAACGCCTGGATGGCCTCCTACTCTGGTTCACCGACCACGATGTCGGATCTACCGTAGGCCGGCACGGTCCACCTCATCACCGACCACGATGACCTCACAGCCATGCCGGATCTACTGCAGATTGGCACTGTTCTCGTCGTCCACGCCTCTATACAGATATGTCAAATGGCTCCCCAATGCCATGCGGCTGAGGAAGAAGGCGCGGACGTGGCCTATCGATCTTTTATTTAAGCCTGTCATCGAGGAGTATTTTGCCAACAAAAGAAAAATTGTTTTTTTTTCTAGCCTCATGCCTTTGCTAGTTATGCCTGTTGCAAAATGACAGAAGCAGGTATATATATTTCCTTTCCCAGCAACCCCATTCACACTTTTACAGAGCAAACATTCGGTGATCCAAAACATTCAGTGATCACGTCCACTTTCACACATCCATTCACATATATGCCATTCACACTAATCCACAAATCAAACATATATTAAGCCATCACATCCATATTCACACATCCATTCACATATATATACCATTCAAGATCCATTCAATGATCACCAAACTGTTCCATTCAATGATCACCAAACCGTCGATATGTATCAAAAAACTGCAAAACCAAATTATAAGTTGGAACAAATTTATATGTGAGTAGCATCAGTCGACTGAATTTGTTGAAAACAAGGATGGCTACTTTAGCTTCGATCAAGCCTTAAGCGACCTCGCGCGCCATGTGATTCATTGAGTAATAATGAACTCTAATTAAAAACATAAGTTACTCAAAAACCGCGCGATGTTATGAATTATCACAACCAGTCTTGTGTTGCCGCATATAATAAAAACCAAGTTTTTTTGCGTTCCTTTTTCACTTGGTAGAGCACGACAGGAAGGGAAGAATATTTTAACTTGTATCCCCGTACAATAGGAAAGCAACCTTTGTTTTTGCTTTTCCCTTTCCTCTGGAGTCTCGGCAAGCAATGCCATGACTTTTTCCATAGCCCCATGATGCCATCATAGCATCACAGGCATGCAATGTAGGCCGTGTTTAGTTCCTTTTTAAAAAAAATTTAAGTATACGGAAACACATTTTAAATATTAAATATAGACTAATAATAAAACAAATTATAGATTCTACCTGTAAACTGAGAGACGAATCTATTAAGTCTAATTAATCCGTCATTAACAAAATATTTACTGTGGCATCATATTATCAAATCATGGTGTAATTAGGCTTAAAGATTCGTCTCGCAATTTACATACAAACTGAGCAATTGGTTTTTTGTCCACATTTAATACTCCTTATATATGTCCAAGCATTTGATGTGATGTAATTTTTGAAAGTTTGAAGTTAACTAAACACAGCCGTAATGTAATTTTTCTTTTCCCAAGAGTGGCGAAAAGTTTCAAATGTATTATATGTTTTTTTTTCTTAAGTGCAGGTTGTTTTTTAAATTCCACATACTTCTTCAACTATTCTGGCATGTTTTCTCTTGTTAAATAAATTATATCACTCATGAGTTTGAAAAATTATATCACTCGTAAAAAAATGATTTATTTTTTTCAATATTGTATAAATGAAGTGCAACAAAGTTAACTTTTAAGTTGTTCCCGTAATTCTTCTCCAAAGTATGAAATGACATTTTTGTGAAACCTGGAAGTTTTTTTGTTTGTGGCGAAATGGTGTAATTTGACGGGGTGTATCAGGCTAATCGTGAAATGAAGTGCCTTCTTCATCTTCATATTGATCAACCAATTAATTGGTGAAGAAACGACTTTGTTTTTTCTTTTACAGTAGTACTCCTAACTATAAAAACTGAAATAAACAATGAACATATAAATGAAAAAATTGGGATTGAACGGAAAAACAAAATAATTATGTCTAAGTAGCGGTTTTTTCCTTGGAAATGGAGAGTTCCTCTAACCACTCAAGGATTCTACTCCGACGAATAGTGTTACTCTGTCCACTCTTCACCTCTCCCGTGTTCTTCTCTGCTACTTTCCTCCTCCGCCTCCTCGCCGCCGCCGCCGCCGCGGCCTCCGCCGAGCCGACAGGCTCGACGGCGTCCGGCGAGCAGTTGCACACAAGACCGGCGCCCAGGAAGCCCAACGGGAGATTCTTTTCCCATGCCACCGCATCCTTAGCGGCGGCTCTCGGCTGCTCGAACCTCGCGCTGCGGCTCCCTCCTCTCGCCGCGGCGGGAGCGGGACGAGGCGGGTAGACGTCGGGGGCGCCGACGACGCCCAGGCGTAGGAGGCCCCACGATGCCGGCGGCGCGGACCCGGTGCTGCGCCGCCCTGCCGAGCCGCCGCCACCGCCGCTCAAGCGCTGCGACGGACGCGGCGACGGGCTCGGGTGCGCGTAGAACAGGCTGCCCGACAGCGGCCGCCGCCGCGGCGGCAGGAGGGCGTCGGACGAGGCGGCCTTGGACGGCTGGTTGCTTCGGCCGGCGGTGTCGGAGGACGCGCTCTTCTGTGAGGTGCTCCGGCTGACGCAGCTGCTGCTGCTGCTGCTCGAGCTCGCGCTCCGGCTGTCGGAGCGCGAGCTGAAGCCGCTGGCGGACGACGCCGTCGTGGCACCGTCGAGCGAGTCCGAGCGGAGCAGCCGGAGCGCTGCCGCTTCCACGGGGTTTGCGGATGAGAGCCGCAGCGGAAGGAGCTTCCCGTCGGAGAATACCTCGTCGGCGACGCACATGCCATCCTCGTCCGCGCCGGCGAGGGCGAGGCCACCGGACGGGAGCACGAAGAACTCGAATTCCTCGGGAGCCACGGAGACGGAGGTGGAGCTGTCGGTGGCGGCTCCAGCGCCCGGCCGGCATTGCGGCGCGGTGTCCTGGCTCGCCATTGATGGTTTCTTAGCTTGCTTTGTCTTTGTTTGGAGGAAGGGAGGAAGCAAAGAGGTGGCTGCTAAGTTTGCTTTTGCATTTGGGTCTCTTGGGTTGTGAGAAAACAGAGTTGTCCCTTGTCAGAGAGGCGATGATGCGTGCTGCGTGGTGGTCATCCCGTCTATTTATACGTGGCGAGTTGGACATTTTGTTGGACAAGTCAGTAACGAAATTAGAGCAGACAATTATAATATAATTATAATTATAATATAGTCATTAATATTTAGGTTCTCTTACAAATAAAATATGAGGGAAAGAGTATTAGCATTTGAATTGTTCAGTTCGACTTTCTTGTTGAGTGAGGTTATCAATTTTGGCAAGATAATTGCCTGATTCCATGAAAAGCAAGCAACCATTATGTCTAAGCGTGCCAATTTCAACAATTCAAATTATCTTATTGCATGGGCTAATTCTAAAATCGTCTAATAAGATTCATGCTTCCTTACAAAAAGGTTTAATATATTTTTATTCTCCCTTTCTATGTTGAACTATTAGGCAAAATCTCTTGCCTATTCTTCAAAAGAGAAAAAAAACAGCATTGCCATTTGACAACCACACAGTTTTATTCTCTTCATTTTCTGTCATCTATACTTGCACAATTTATAAACTAGACATACACAATTCGTAAAATAAACTTGCATAATATAATATAGAATAGTGCAACTTCTATTTTTCTTTATTTTTATTAATTAGACAAATTTAAACGCATTTTTATGCTTATATAGATCATAGAAATTTTTCTATATCAGGGAAGCACTTTTAAAGTTTATGGTCGACAATTGGGGGAAAAATAAGTGAGTAATAGGATATTGATCTAGTGTTGAGAAAAGTGATTGACACAAAAAACAAATTCTGTGAATTGACCAGTAGAGAGAGCCCAAATGAAATCCTTTTGTTCTAACTTATAATACTACAATGACGGGCCCTTATTCTCATGTTTTTTCGGTGTTTTATTTGGTCTTTAGAAAACTTTGCTTTCTGGCATAAATCACATCTTGCCTGCATTCGATGGATTACCTGTCTTCAATCCACATGTGAAAATGTTCATTCATTGAACATGACATTCTAGAATGATATATTTGCACAGGTGAATTGTAACTGGGGAAGAAACCAAGAAAGTCTGAATATTGACTTCTATATTGTCTTTGGCTGTAGTTTTTCTGTTGATGAAAAATTGGTTAATCTAGCATGTGATTAATCAGACCAAGTCGGGGTATTATATCAATTAAACCACAAATAAAAATTTATGGCCCTTTTGAATCAAATGATTTATCTAGGAATTTCATAGGATTCAAATCCTATAGGAAATTTTCCTACTTGGCCCTTTGATTTAAAAGATTGAAGTTTTCCAAATCATATGAAATTCCTATGGAATGGCACATTGTATGTGGATTTTGGAGAAAATATAGCAAGAGCTCTAACCTCTTGGAAAATTCCCTTTGAGTTTATCTCTCTCATCTGATTCATGCGTTTTTCCTGCGCTCCAATCAAACGATCATTCCTGTGTTTTTCCTGTGTTTTGCAATCCTCTGTTTTACACTTCAATTCCTATCAGAATCCTGTGTTTTTTCTATTCCTCCATTTTTTTCAATCCTGTGATTCAAAGGGACCCTTAGAGTATTCGGCTGCGGTCCTGATCAGTGCTGAAAAAAAAACAAGATAAACTGGCATCTAAAGCATCAGTTGTTTTGAGAAGGGGAGAGTTATATAACTTGATTTTTTGAAAGATTAGTCAATAGAAATGTCGGTATGCAACTGATAGGAGGCGCCCAGGAGAATTGACAAGCATTGTTATCCGAAACAAAAAAGTGGGACAATGTGGTAGAAATTCAGCAATTTGTTTGGAGATAACTGTAGCAGACTGACCGCTACGTACAACAGCAGCGACACGTCCCAGCCAAATTTGAGGTTACCTCTTCTTTTTTTTTTAGAGAAGGGTATTTTTTTACCCGGCCTTTATATCCAATCGGATATATGCAGTCTTTTTTTTAATAGAAACTTAGCCTCAATTTCTCTTCTATTTACACCCACAACGTGGCTGTCCCTAGCCACGAAACCAACTAGAAGTAGAACTCCTAATCACATAGAAAACCTACCAAACTAGGGAAACATCCTCATATAACTCCACACTCCAATCTTTCTAAACTTAGACTCCAATCCAAATTTGGCATCGCGTGTATGCCATATAACTCTTTTCATACGCACGCAACAACACGTGTATGCCATATGAAAACTTTCACCTCCACGTGCATTATTCTTCGGCCTTAGCATCTCACGTGATATCCTTGACCATGTGGACTTCAACTTCTCCCAAGCATAGTCTCGATCCATCACTAGCTTTACTCCCATGACCTTAGGCAACACCTACACATGAACAATAAAAACTACTACAAAAACCTTCATAGGGACTAGCCATATAGGTGCCCGTTTGACAAAAACCGGCACCTATAAGATGTTTCTCACCCACCATTTCAATAATCGGCACCTATAAGGTCATATAGGTGCCAGTTTTACTTAAAAAGGCACGAAAGACCCTCCTGCCAATGGTCTAAAAAAAATATAAGTGGCGGCCATTCACTAAAAACCGGCATCTATGTAACGTACGTATTATCTTGGTGATGTGTCTTGGCTCGAGACAATAGGTGCCAGTTCTCATTACAAATGAACACCAATTACCTTGTGATATGGCCCAGGTATGGCTATAGGTGCCAATTTTTCATATAACTTTTCCATACAAAATTAGATGAATATAAACTTTATATGAAATTTGTAGAGCTAGACGAGATCTGCAACTTTGTAGTTTATAACGTTTTGATTTAAGGTCGATCGTTTGGATGTCCGAAAATGTGTTATAATGTCTCGGATCTATTTGCATAGGAGAATATTTAAAATTTTAAATGACCTCGGATGGAGACAAAACAAATACAAAAGTTGTAGATCTAGATGAGATCTATAATTTTTTAGTTGACAAAAATTTCATGTCATTTATTTCCATGACAACATGTGTGTGTAGGTGAGATGGTAAGGATTCTTTGGATGGAGAGAGAGATTTCGAGTTTGAATCTTGCTTGACCCATAATTATGAATATGGGTTGAAAAAATTGTGGGACTTGTGGGAAGTGAAGTGTGACTGTAGAGGTGCTAACAAAAATTCCAAATATTTTTTGGGTTTTTTTTAGCACCTACAAAATAAAAAAGGATGCACCCTGTAGGTATCGGTTCGTAATTAGAACCAACACCTATAGTCATATTGGTGTCCACCAATAGGTGTCAGCCCCAAAACTGGCACCTATGGGGCTTTCCGAACTGGCAGCTATGTGGCTGTATGTAGTAGTGAAAGAAACTTTATATTCGAACAGAAGTTCATGCCAACTTGACTCACATCAGCACAAAATAATATCACATATGAATAGGAACAATCTAGAAGTCATTAACATAAAGTAATCTAGAAATTCCACGAAAACAACTTGAAACTGAAATTGTCACTTTCTCACATGGTATCCTGACTGTACCAGACCTCTGTTTCTCCATGAGCATATTACCAGTCTTCACCATTAACAAAGGCTGACCTCAAGTCACCTGCACACCATCAGACAAAAGAACTTATTCTGGACGCAAATATCACAATTGTAGGATCGAAACACAAGAACTAAGCTAACCAGAGGGGGAGGGGTGAATGGTTGGTATACCCCAAAACCTAACTTTTTGCGGAATCAAAAGTTACCCTCAAATTCGATGTAGATCGGTCTGACCGGGGTTGATCCGTCGGTCTGACCACGCCTGTGCCGCCGGTTTGACCGGTGTAGATCGCCTGGTTGGACCGCCCTGAAATCGCCGCCAATCTGACCGCAGGTACGCCACCGGTCTAACCGCCGCAATGCCGCCAGTCTGTCTGCCAGGGTTAGACCGCCAAACCCGAGAAAACACAAATCGAAGAACTCTTAAAGTAGATAACAACTTTATTACTTCTCTCTGTGTTTACAAAGTGCAACAACAGCACTCCTTACAAAAATCTCAACTAAACTCGAAACCCTAACTAAGCTATCAACTCAATTGATCTCAAAAGCGATACGGGGAAGCCTCGCGCTCCCTCTCTATTTATACATGAGGTAGGCAGCCAAAAGCCACGAACCAAACTCATATTAGAAGTTCTAATCCATCTAGGAAACCTTCTTGTACAAGAAACAAATTTTACAAACTCCAATCATACCAAATTTGGACTCCTTCCAAATTCGACTCCGCATCCCACACGCACACAATACCTCCATCGTATACCATATGGAATCTTCACCAACCACGTGCATTGAACTTTAGCCTAAGTATCCCGCATGATATCTGACCATCACGGACATCATCTTATCCCCAAGCCGACTCCCGATCCATCACCGGCAGTACTCTGCCGAGGCATTAAGTCACCTATACATGAATCAAACAAAGAACCATATTCCGAGACCAAGCTATCTCCAACTTGACTCATTAGTAGCAAACAACAATATTACATACGCATAGTATCTATCTAGAAGCCATAAATATGAAACAATCATGGACATCCAAATAAACAACCCGAAACCGAAACCGACACAGCGTCGGCTGGTCAGACCGCGGGCTGACCGATCTGACCGCGCGATACACGCCGGTTTGACAGGCAGCACCTTCCCGGTCTGACCGGACCCAAATCAGCAATACCTGTAGATCACCTGTTAAAATCCAATCATCTCCAAAACCACTTCACAAATAAATTCCAAATATCAAAACCAATAATCTCCAATGCCAATTGTTCGTCACAGAATAACAAAAACACTTTGATTTTATAACAACCTGACACACATTAGTTACGACACTCATACCAACATCCACACGTACCACCAAACTAATTTCCAATTAATAATTATTTCTAAAGCCAATTATCCATCACAAAATATATTAATCATGAGAATGATTATAAATATGTGTTCGTCAAGAAAAACGTTCTATACATGGTCAACTAATATGTTCTGATTGTAAAATTTGGTACATCTATTAGGTGATACCAAATTTTACGTAGGAAATGCAGTATCTTTTAAGGCCATAAAATCAAACGGATGATTTTATTGCAAACTATCGTACTCCAACCAAAAGAAATACTATGGAAATATATGCTGCGATATGAGAATATATACTGCACTTGAGCAAGGCAACACATGTAGAATAATTTGTGACAGAGATTGTGGGGAGTAAAGTGTGCTTATCGAGAGATTTCCCTGCAGATGTTAATCATAAGGTACTAGCACAAAATGGTCAGTGTTGCG